TATAAAATTATATTCATATACGATATTCCGGAATTCACAAATAATAAGTTTAAATGGTAAAATGCAATACGAATAGTAAAAGTATAATTTTTTTGTTGTACTTTATATGAAAATCTCTTATTTTAGTTACTTACCATCTGAAACATTATTTTCAGCTAAACAAATGGTGTAATTGGTATTCTTATTTCCCAACTTATTTGAAGATGTCATAACAATTGTGACAGAAAACTAAAATATTTATATAAAAATTTACATAAATTATATAAATTTAATTAAAGGCTTTTACATACAAGGCAACTTTAATTGATCTTTTACATTCAAGGCAAATTTAATTAATCTTTTATATACAAGACACATTATTACATGCTTTAGAAATAATAATATATTAATATGTAAAATTAAAAATAAATAAAATAAAATAAACTGTTTTTTACAATAATTTAAAAAGTTTTTATAAAATTTTAATCTATATTTAATTTTTATAATATAACAATATAATATTTACAAGAAGACCAAAAGCGCAAATGTAAAATGTAATCATTTTCATCTTGTCAGAGCGAATGTATTCTTGAAATGTACTTGTACAAAAACTTTGCGGAATCTGTAAATCGTATTAATTGTAAATACAAAGTATAAAGACTGGGTTGAAGACAAAACAAAAATAATAAAAATAATAAACAAAAATAATAAATTACTAACATTAGCTGATCAGAGATACATAATAAATACACAAAATTGAATAAATACACAAAATAACAAATATTATATAATAATTATAAAAGTAAACAGGAATATAAGCATATTATAACAAACAAAGTTTACTTAAATAATGTAAAACATGTTAATAATATAAAATAAAGAAATACAGAATTAAAAGGGAAAAACTTATCTCGTACGAAGCTTTATGATCCACTTGCTAGCAACGTATATACTGAAAAAGAGACGAATTTTTTTGCGTTTTATATAATGTACCTATTAAAATATGATCGTCCAAGCATGCGTGTTGCGTGTTTTGTGTTAATAACTATGTCCGGGAAGTGCACTATCAGAGAGAGCGTTATTATTCTATCCTGTCCTTTATATCATTAATATTTTCATTTCCATTTAAGTTAGTGTATATATGTAGAGGGCAAAAGTTGTACAATTTCACACATTTATTAAAGATTATATTATAGAATCCATAAAGTAGTAAGTAATAAAATTTTCGGTCAAATTGTTTTTTTATTAAAATTAAATAGAGATATGTTTTATTTATTTATATGCTACATAATAAAATTAAAAAACTAATAGTTCTCTCTAATGTATTTAATAAATATATTTATTAAATTACAATACATTTTTACTGTCATTTTAATACAGCAAAACGAAAAGAAAGTTATACATATACATATACATTTTTATAGAGTTTTGTAGATTTATACAATTGATTTTAATTTATTTATTATTATTTGGATTTATGCTCGTACTCATGCTTTAGTGTTTTCATCATTGTTTTTAGAAATACTTGGAAATATTCTTTTTTCAGCTTTCATAAAACATTCTGCAAGAGCAAAAGTTTTTTCACATTTTTCTGTAAGATCTTTTGCTAAAATAAAAATAAAATTAATTAAAAAAATGAAAGAGATAAAATAGGTATGTTAAAAATGTTATGTGTTTATTACAACGTTAAAATACAGATTTTAATTCGTTGTATTAAATTTTATTCAATAATCATACTATGGATTATTAAATTTTATTAAATATATCCAATTTTGTTATTAAGAATTAAGTTACATATATAGCATGATTACACAACTTACTTTTATCTATACAATTATCAAGAGCTATAAAAATTTCTTCTCCTGGTTGAGCATTCGTTTTTTTACTAAAATCGTCACGTATTTTTTCTACATTGTATTCAGCTCCTACCATCTAAAATTAAAAAAATAATATATAAAATATAAATAATGTTTGTTTATTTTTGAAAATAAAAATATATGCTTTGTATTAGAATTAATATAGATCATATTATTTTTATAGTATTAAGTGATGATATATAAAGATATTAATTAGCCAATTAAATTTGGAATTGGGTAATTGAATTGGAAAGTATAATAAAAAAATATAATTTATCTTATAAGATATTATTATGTTATAATTTTTTAAATACCATTATTAAAAGAACTCGTAGATTAGATACTGATTGTCAGTAATTAACAACGAATATTAAACTTACTGCGCCTACTTTTTCAAATAAACATTGTATAACACAACCATTTTTTTTTATTTTTTCCTCATTGTCAGGTTCTTTGTGTCTGTCATTAACTACATCCTCTATTGTAAACATATCGTCTAGAAAATGAATTAAAAAGATTCTTTATGTAAATAACTAAAAAAATATTATTTGTATTGTTTACAAAATTTATTAAAATTAGAAATTAGAATTATTATATATATTTTTCTATTTTCCTAATTTAGTAATTTAAAAATTAATTAATTATTAATAATTAATTTATTAATTTTTAATTTATTAATTTAGAAATTATCACATTTTTGCAAATTTGTATTAAAGTTTGCAGAGTTTTTGAGATAAAAAATAATTAAATTAGTTACACACACACACACACACACACACACACACACACACACACCACGCGCGCGCACACACGCACACACGCATATATATATGGTATATATTATATACATTAATACATAATTGCTGTTTAAAAATATGGCAATATGCAATGACATATCTTTTTTGAAAAACAACTATGTATTTTCTTTACATCAATTGATTCATTTCATTATTTTGTGCATAAACGTTACAGTTGGAAAAAAATAAATTACGAGTTGTTTTATACAAATTGCATATCAAATTTAGCTTTATAACTCAAAAAATATTTGCTAAAAAAATACTTTATTATATTGTTTTAGAAAGCTCTCGAGGTTAGATACAAGAATACGTAATAGAATACGTAATAAAAAAGAATTTCATTTAAAAAAACAAAGATAACCTTTATATCTTGGCGATGCCAAGCACAAACCAATCACTATTCTACGTCTCCTTCAAACTATACAATATTTGTCTGTTGGTCTCAATTTTCAAGATATTCGATGGATTAAAATAAATCATCCTGTATGTGTGTATGTGTGTGAGAATTATGTTTTTTTGAAAACGGAAAGAAATAAGCGCATATATTACTTAATTTTGATTTTAACTAATCTTTTGTATATGTATTAACAAAAGAATAAAAAAATAAATAAAATGTCAGTAAATAGTTTTTTTAGAAATCTATATATGATATGTAAAATAGTATAAAATAAATGTTTCTTAAAAAATAACAAATAAATAATTATTTAAAAAGGACAAACAATATAACAGCTTGTGTAAAAAAAACAATACCAAACAATGAGATTGACATGAGCAAAAACAAGTACTATTAAAAGTGAGTATCTTATTTAATTATCCTATTGTTTAGTTAGTGTCGTTCTCGATTTTATATATATTATATATATTATTCTTCGTTTTTCATTATATGTAAGCCAAAATGTTCAAGTATTTAAATTTAATGTTATCATTTTCTTATTATTCGGATCTGTTTTTAATTTTTAATAAATATTTTTATTATTTTTAATGATAATAATAAATAAATATTTTAATTGTTTTAATTATTTTTATATTTTATTTGCTTTTATATTTTACTTGCTTGTTTATCGGAAATAATTATTTGTTTAGTTTATTATATTGTTATTTATAAATTGGTAATAAATTTTTAAAAAATGGAAAATTATTTAAATTAGTACTTACTGTTAGATACATTATTTTCAGTTAAGCAAACATTATAATTGTCATTTGCGGATCCTATTTTAATTGGGTTTCCCTCAATACTGAAAATCTAAAATAGCACTACATTTTCTTATAAATAACTTTCTTTCTTACATTTATATAAACGCATTAATATTATTACATGCTAATTATATATGCAATAGTAATATTAAAATATCTATAATTTATATATAATTAAAATAGAAGTTTTTTGTTATATTTCTAATAAAATTTTTTTTCATATTTATATTCAATTTTTATGATGGAAGAATACTTACAACGTCAAAAATGCAAATATAAAATACTAATTTTTTCATTTTATTAATATAGTTATTTTTCACTATTTTTAAATTTACGTATATAAGAACACGTTAAGTTTAACTGAATGATCGATTTATACTGATCATGATATATAAAATGCGTAGTTTATTGCGAAATTGTAGATAATAATTGTATATAAGCACAAGATTTATTATGCAAGAAATAGAATGATAAATCACTAACACAAACTGTAAATATGAATCGATAATATGATCGATAAAAAATTTATGCATAAAGTTTTTTTACATATATGTATAAATTCTGATTATTCAAACATAAATTAATTTGATGTCTGTCTTTGATAAATTCAAGAGTTTTTTCTAGTTTTAATTAATACATTGTAATCACAGCTAAAAAGAAAATAGATAAAGATCAGAATTAAGCTTCGCAATTTTTATTTTGACATAATACTTTGAAATTACTGTTAGTACTATCGTAAATTTAAAGGTTTACTTAAAGGTTAGATAAGTCAAAAAGTTCTTAATAAAGGAAAATTTAATTATACTATTTAATTATATTATTTTGATAACGTTTCGAAATTCGTTAATTACAAGAATATGCGATAAAAAATAAAATTTTTATTTAAAAAATTCAAAGTAATCTTGATATAATCTTGACAAGAATATCCAAGATAACACAAGTATCATAGACTAAGATCTCTCTCGAAATCAAATAACTTTTGTATAAACATGTGTCACGAAATTGTTTTTAAGATATTTT